TCGATCGCGTCGTCGGCTTTCGATTTGGAGCGCGCCGCCATGTAGACATTAGTGCCTTTGTTCAGCAGTGCCTTGCATGTCTCCTTTCCTACCCCCACGCTACCTCTACACAGTCCAGCTTATGGTTGAGTCAAGTAAGAGAATCAAAGGGTATTTAAGACTCACGCGATGGCAATGATAACTTGCCCAGCCAAGTCAGGAATTTGTTCAACCGACCAGCGAGACTTCCCGGGAAAGCCCTCTTTGTACATGCTGCAGGCGCTGCTCATGGCTGATAGAAGAAAAGGTACTAGAAAGTATAGCAGCGGCGGTAGGTGATGGTGACATTACGGCTTCGTCTGAGCTATCTTTTATAACATTCGTCAAGGTAGTATCTCAGACGATAGCTTGCCCAAGTCCCCGACAAATGCTAAGGTGAGGAGTTCGGGGTTGGTGACACGGAATGGGGGTGACGACTACCCGGCAGGAGCACGGCCTCCGGCGTGAAGTATTACCAAATGGCTGAGTCTTGGCGTGGCAATATTGTGCACTAGACCACGTGACTGAGCCACTCCAAAGATGTCAAAACAATGCACAGCTGCATACATCCTTGTTCCAACATATTCCTTGTTTCCGCTTCTAGCGTCTGCCGACTGTTTCTCCACTCCCGTGGTAATCATAAACGACACAAAAGCTCATTGGTATCATATAATTGGCATCAAAACATTTATCCGCCTCACTTCCATGAACGCAGCCATATATATGTTACAGTTTGAGCCACAATACCACCACCTAGATACAACACATAAAGGGCGCTTAAGGTCTATACAATGCTATCACGAGGCATCGTGAGCCCATAACAAGCCAGATATCACGAGATGAGTCTAAGGACCCTGGTTGGCGCTTATGGACCTTCCCAAGTATCTCATAGAGAAATATCTGAAGCGTCGCTATCGTCCTTGGCGCTATCGTCCTCGCTTTCGTATTCATCACCATCACTATCACCATCAGTCATAACGGATCCATAACCTTCGGGTAACAAGGTCCATACGCTTTCCATCGCGTCTTGGATATCTTGTTGCACAACTTCGGCAGCACCTAAACCGGCCGAGGCTACCCGAGTGCCGTGATCTGCGATACGCAATTGAATCTGCCTTTGGAACTGGACGACAGTTGTGGGAACCCAAACGCCGCGTTCCTGATCCTGCACACACAAAAATCAGAGGATATATGGTTATTACGAGATGCGAGCGCAAGAGTTCTACGAACAGCTTACCAAGAGATTAAGCAATTTGGAAGAAACATTTGACTGAGGTTGTTCATGCATTACGTCTAGAATGGAACGCGATAGCGAGACATTGCAAAAGTTCCACCACCATCTCTCCAAAGTTTCGTATATCTCATCCTGGTGACTTTCAATGCACCCCAGCGTAAGGAGGGCTTTCCACTCGCCTGGCCTAAATAGAGCAAGGTTTTGTATTGCATCCATCGTTTGAAATAAGGCGTCTTCGCCTACTAAGGCCGATAAATCTACGAAAAGCTGCCCGACGTCCTTGACGCCCTGAGTGGCAGTAGGAAGCTTCTCGGATGTGCGCTCCAAGTCAAAATCATAGCTTCTTGAGAGACCTTCGAGTGACTCCAAGAGAAAGAATAACCTAAGGAATTCAACTTTCACCAAGAATGCTCGGTATATTGACTTGGTACGCAGATAAATAGCGCGGAAAGCCGAATGGGAATTATCGTTGGGACTCGGGCTGCCTTCAATACCAAGTACCATTGAAAGAATTACCTGTAGATCTAGAACCAAAAGATACCAGACTCCCGTAAAAAAGCATTTCACCTGGTCAAACTTTGAGTATGGCGAAGCCAGCATACTGTCACACGATTCAGCATCGCTATCATCCTCACTACGCCCACGACCGGCTCCCACTAGGATTTCCCAAAGGTTACGAGACAGAAGCTCCCAACTAATCCAAAAGCGTTTTAAATAATATTCAGTCCAAGATTCGACGCATTCATCGACCAAAATTTCCAAAATTTTTAAGGCCTGAAGTCTTGTTTTATCGATATAAAATAGAGCTACTTCAGCAAATTTACGGCTGAACGTTGCGAACGCCAGAGCACAAGTTGGTTCGTTCCATATGCTGGCCTCGTAGCGATGTTCTAATGCCATACGTATTCCTCGTGGACAGACGTCGTTGTCCACGGCATCCCACACAGTCTCACTGAGCGCTTCTTTGAGCACTATGCTGACAGCATTATCCAGACTCGAACTCCAGAGTATCTTGGCGTAAGTTTTATGCGATTCGTCAAAGGCATACCCGTCCTCCGCTCTCAGCAACTTGCGCATCGTGTCTAGCAAGAAACGTGTAGGTCGTGGGTTTTCTGGGTCAAGCATAGTACAAAAACGAGGCAGCATATATCGCTGACTGTCCTCTGATGACGGGGTCCGTGATCTATTAGATAACTCGTCAAGAGCTATGTCCACAGCAGAGTTCCAGTGCTCTTTTGTAAAGGCCCTTTCCCATGCAAGTAGGCGTCGAGTCAGGACTACAAGAATGGTGCAGCAAAAGAAGTAGCAGTTGTAGCGCTGTAGCGTGTACTTGCTGGAGTGCTTGTGTTTCTGTATGGCGTAGCAGATCGCTAGGATATCGAGTAGGTCAAACTCGCGGGGAAGCTCGATGCTAGAGATGAGGTCCGAAGACTCGTCAAGCCGCAATTTTTCGTAGTCATCGCGCGTAATGCATTTGATAAAGTCGCATGCAAGAGAGCCACTTCGAGTACTAATAGCTTCCGCTCGGGGGCTCCCTCCACCTGTACGTTCAAGGAGACAGTATGACCCATCTGTAAGTTTGAGGATCAAGAACTCGTGGAAAAAGGGAGAGCTGCGGCTCCGGCGGTGATCTATTGACTTGAAGCGAGTGCAGGCCCCGACGCGCTGCAGGCCATCATACCACTTGAAGGGGAGGTCGTCACGCATGTACCACTTTTTACTAAATGTCATCTGATGGGGATCGACTCCGTTGCTGCTAGAGCTCTCAGACCTCGAGCCTTGATTTACGAGTACGGTCGATAATTCAGAGACCCTCCATGCGTCCAGACCGAGTATAATACTCAACTCCTGCAGTTGTATGTCGATTGAATTCAGCGCAAAGTCAATGCGATGAAATACAGGAAGCTTACCGCTGAAAGCGCCGTACTTGGGGCAAGGCAGAGTCTAAACAAGTGTACCACTGAGCGTGAAGACTGCCAGAGAGTGGGAAAGGTGAAGTCTGATGAGATCACCCAGGCAAGCACTAATAGTACGGGTTGGATGTCCATAGACATGACAGCTGTCGTGGCAAATGCTGTGGCGTTCCAAAATAACCCAAGCTTGAGCGCCAAAAAAATGACAGCGAGGAGATCATTACATATACTATCCTCATCGAGAGCTTGGTAGTTGTTCATTGTGGGCTAGATAAACTGACGGAGGTTGGTTGAGTCAGTGGGTGAAGAGGGAGGATACAGTGGCTTTATTGGGTCCACTTGGTTGTCTTGAGACCGAAAAGCGTGCCAATCAGCACGAGGTTTCCACCCCGTTCGGATAACGCACGAGGGGTTGGCGAGCCTAATTCATACCGTGGCGCAAGGGGGCGCTAACAACAACCACAAAGCCTCCGAGCCAATACAATAAGTAGCAAATGAGCAGTTTAGAAGCCTAGTTTACAAAGTCCTATTTTCTAGAAGTCATGAATAATCGTTTTAATGCCATGCGCATACATTCACTTAGAAAGGGGTTACAGCACGCAGGTTTGGTTCTTACTGCACGTGTCAGACCGGGCATGACCAACGTGGTAAGATCAGAGCGTAGCTAGAGACGCCTGTTAGCGTTAAAAGTTCCGAGAGTATTTCTACTGAGAGTAGAATGTCGAACTCATGTCCAATTAAAGCGGAAGCATAAGTCATACGAATCGCCAAAGCAGGACAAAAATCTAACTGCTTAAATTGAGCACCCACCAGCAACCGAGTTATCATTCAACCCGTGCAGTGCTGCCGCCTAAATGAATTCATTAAACCTACGATCCCAGAGCCCAAATAAACCCCTCGTTCAGGCGTTCGACTCTGTTTACGTTGCA